AGTTTAAATTCACAAATAAAATCGGTTTGGATTCAAATCAACAAGTTTAAATTCACAGAAAATAATGTTCAAATTCACAGTTATAAAGTTTAAATCAAAGGCACATCAAGAGGATTAAATATTGCTACAAACAGGCAGCCATAGCAGAGACAGCAGACATCCTAAAGGCAGCTAATGCATGCATGCGCAAGTAAGGTTCAACTCACTGCTGTCATTTGAAACCATGCATGTTCATTATAACAAGACACAGAAAGTGACCCTCCCTGCCTGAAGTCCCAGTTGTAACTCCCAAACAATTGAATAAGGAAAAGAATTCGTACAGGATTGTGGTAATAATTTTATTATGACTAATGAAGCGAAAAGAAAATTTCCAAACGTTTTTTTTTTTAGGTGAATCAGTGCTGCTGTCTGAATACGTGTACAAGTTCAGCAAGGAATACCGCAAGGTTCACAACAAAACGACTAGTGAACTTTGCTACCCCGAGGGAATGGTGTGGAGCAAAGACACCAAGATTTATATTATACTACCAGGTATGGTCTTATGTCTAAGTAGCCATTCCGAGGTTGAGGAAAGGTTGAGTTGATATTGCAGTGCATCGTCGGAATGTTTTAGGAATAGACGCCATCTTGGAAATACAAATGTAAAAAATACAAAAATACAATGGAATGGCAAATGTGGACCTACTTCAGTAATTCCAGTGACAAAACAATGAATTTTGATTCATGAGTATGGAATTGTACTGTTCTGTTTTCTGAATTAATGAGCTGCATTGGGGACATCCTGCAAGGTTCTATACTCTACACAAATAACTATGATATTTTTCAGGGGATTTTTACAAAATCTTAAATAATTTCTATTTTACAGTTCTTAATTATGGCTATTGGGTGAAGTATATCATCGATGAACTATCCAAGGTTATTACAGCTAAGAAATTTTTTCGCTATATACTTTATATGCTTTCTCTTTAAACAGCTATTTCAAAAAAGGCGAAGGGGCAAATGGCGAATTGGCAAATGGCGAATTGCGATCGATTGGCCATTGCACGACCGAAAGGAACTTTGGGGTAACAACAAGTTCTTTATTCATAATCATTTCTTAAATACTTAACAATGCCTGCAGCAGTCAGCGAAGGCTTCAGATCTCGAGTTGATGTGATCTTTTTGATTGTATGACGACAGTTTCTTTCGTTCGTGTAATCGCCAATCACTGATCGCTATTCGCCGTTGGTTCCTTCAACCTTTTGTGAAATAGCTGTATTTTACTAAAGCTGTTGGCTACCCAAAAATCGCTGCAAAATCATCACACCCATTTCTGTCACGTTCTATTATCAAAAATTCACTATTGAACAAAGAAAAAAATACTCAAGTGAATATTTCGCCAATACTTCACTGCCAAGTTTAAGATCGTAGTAGAACCTTTACAAAATGGTGAGAAATTGATGTCAGCACGAATCTTTTCCAGATTTACCTCAACACGAAAGAGAGAAACTTCCATCTTGTGATGATAGATTTCAACAGCACAGATTTTGAAGCTGAGAAATATTTACAGGAATCAGTGTTAAGAAACAGGTCAGTACACGACGCAATATTCCCAGATCGGGAGGCCATTACTAGAATCTTCCATACTGGGTCTGTGAGCCAGCATATTTCCAGATCAGAAGGCCATAACTAGGAGCATTCATCTTCCATACTGGGCCTGTGAGCTATCATATTCCCAGATAAGGAGCCCATCGCCCATTACTGGGAGAATCCACCTTCCTTACTGGGTCTATTAGGCACTATATGATTATTTTTACAATACACACTCCAAATTGCTAGCAATAAACTTCTTGTTACATTTTGAATTCAATTTGGCATTGATGTTGCAATTTTGTTTCAGTTTTACATTCTTGAAAAAGGGTGGAAGATTCTTCAAAACTGAAGCAATTAATGAAGGAGCCGCTACAGTCAAGGTGAACCATCGAGCTATTCATCCATCCACACATCCATCAAACCCTCCATTAATCCATCCATCTGTCCGTCCGTGCGTGCGTGCGTCCGTCCGTCCGTCCGTCCACAAGATCCATTCCTTCCATACATCCTTGAATTCGTCTAAGGATGCCACAGTTGAATTGAGTTTGTTTGATATGCTATTCTCTCCGATATCTTGCCACGAGGGTTTTTTTCGGGCCAGATTCCCGGGCTTTCCTCCCTCTTTAAAAATTAACATGCAATTTGAGAGATGAGTTTATAGAATATTCAACGATTCAAGTAGTAAGGAGTGTGTATGTGGGATACACGGCCCCACAAAAAGCCTATCGTGTATAAATAAAAAGGTTTACTATTTAGTATTTATTATTCTATTTCATAGAGTAATAAAAACTTCAGTTTATAACGGTTTCTAATGTTCACCTGTTTTTCAGGATCCAAATAGTATAATATTTCTAATGGATTTGCACATCACAGTTCCGCCATGTTTCTTTGACATCATAAGGAAGGTACGTAGTAGTTGTAGTTGTTGTTGTTGTTACCACTGCTACTAGTTTCTGATGTCATGGCTGGCATAATTGCTGTAATTAGNAGAGATCAAAACAACCCCCAGGATTCTGCAAGCCATCAAAAAAGAGCTTACCGGAGGTGACGTTATTGATAACAACCTATATAGTTAAGAAGTTCTATGAATATGCATAAACTAAAGAAAGGATTATGAAAAATGATGACCAGCCTAGACTTAGTCCGCTGGTCAATATAATCATGATACATACAGACAAATAAAACTTGCAATAATAATAATAATAATAATAATAATAATAATAATAATAATAATAATAATAATAATAACAATGTTTAAGCAGGAGGCTCACATCACTAAGGTGTTTTTCAGAGAGGTCCTGCTAAGTTTTGCTGTTGCAGATGATGCTGCTGTCGTTGCTGCTATTGTTACTGCTCTTGTTAGGTGCTGATACGTACTGTTGCTGCTGCTGCTGCTGTCGTTGCTGCTATTGTTGCTCAATGTTGCCGTTCTTATTATTAGAACTGCTTTTTTATCTTTTACTCACTTTTCGGATTAAAATTATTAATGTTGTTGCTAGGCGGCTTTTATCGTTGTTACTGTTACTGTTGCTGTTGTTTTGAGCTTCAAATCTCTAATAGTGCTATACACTTCTATTTGTCCTTTAGCACACGATAAAAGGGAAGTTGTCTTTCTTTCCTGAGCTCCTTAGGCTCTCGTGTTCTGCTTCTGATATCTACCCACAAGGTATGACCACTTGCCTCCTGCCTTAATAAGATGATGATAATAACAAATCGTCATAGGTTTTTAGGGTCGGCTCATCTGGATAACCTAGTAGGGGGACTGTCCTATTGTTCTTATGGCCATGTAAAATTGTACTAAATTTGTATGGGGAAAAAGTTATAAACAAAAAAAAACAATCTATGAACAATCAATATTTCAACAACTTTATTGGATCTCCCTGGAAAGGGCTTTTAGATGCAATCAATAAATTTACAAATTACTGAGCTTATAGTACACTCAACAAAATTACCCGCCTCTGATTGGTCGAGAGGAGAACAATTATAGCGTTAATTGTACTCCGTAGGAGTACCGAATTAAGTCACTATGGCAACACGGCCAAAACAATGCCAAAAAATTATTTTCTATCATTTTGTACTTAAGAAGCATATAAATAAAATTTTAAAGCCGTAAGAACTAATCTTTTTTATGCATTTCAGTTGCGCGATGGACTGAAAATCGGCCGCCAAATAGACAAAGATGAACGACGTCGCTTCGCACTTTTTACTGAAATTTTGTTGAGTGAACTATAAACAAAAAATCGCACGATCTTCTCGTACAATTTGAAATTAATAGACACTCGTAATGTTTTGAAAGTTCTTTAATTGCACTCGCCTAAAGGCTTGTGCAATTACAAGAACTTTCAAAACATTACTCGTGTCTATTAATTTCCAAATTGTACTCGAGATCGTGCGATTTCCTATACTAATTACAAATACATGCGCTAAAATATACAAATTTTAGCTATAAAAAGACTTTCAAACTAATTTTATCATAAAGGTATTTCGATGTAAAACGATGTGATCATAATGTATTCATTGATTGACACCTCATGTATTAGCATTAACTTCTTGGGCTCGTACACAGGACACATGTAAGAACAGTGCGTATTAAACAGTGATACGATAAATTAAAATATAACTATTAAGTAAGTAGTATTGTTAAATATAGTATTCCTTATTATTACTACTGTTATTATTACTTATTATAGTATTACATGTAGCTAATCAGCCAACCATTCCGTCACTAGACTACTCTTAAGAGAGTTTTTTAAAGAGTTTGACTGAGTTTATCTGTGTAATACTTTTGGGAATTGAGTTCCAAATGTCAACAGCTCTATACTGAAGAAAACGACTGTTGAGCTAAAGCTGATGTTACATGGGGCGATTAGCAACGACGATTTTTCGCGATACGCCGTTGCGCGAAAAATTGATGCCGTGTATAACATGGCGCGTACAACGATTTTCGGATTCGGCAACGCGTTGCAAGCTTCAAAAACTTGAAACGCAGAATGGCGAATTTTGTGCAAGTTGATTCGTGTAACTAACAGCTTCATTAACGATTTCTCGCGCAACGCATACCCAAAATTCATTTTAATGCTCTCATAGGAGCGAGGCGATGTCAACAAACAAGATGGCGGCTTTGAAATCGCTAAAAATCGTGCAGTGTAATAAATTAGTTTTCGAACGAACGTTGCACAAAAAATTGACTCGCGTAACATGTCATATTAAAAATCGTCGAGTCGTATCGCAAAAAATTGTCTTTGCAAATCGTTTCCGTGTAACATCAGCTTAACTTTGTTTTACACATTTGAATTTGTAGCTTGTCATTGTTTCGCGTGCTTTGGTTGTGAATCTCTGATCTTAAAGCAAACATTGACGACAGGTATTTGGGAGCTACACCCTTCATATTCTACACATTGGAATTTGTAGCTTGTCACTGTTTCGCGTGCTTCGGTTGTGAATCTCTGATCTTAAAGTAAACATTTACGACAGGTAATTGAGAGCTACACCCTTCATACATTTGAACATTAGAACAGCATGCATCTCTGAGATATAGAAGTTTAACTGTGATGTTATATGATCATAATTTAGTCTCCCAGTTATCATACGAGCTGCGAGCGAAGTTTTGAACCAGCTGCAATTTACTAATATGACCCTTACTGGTGCCTGACAGTTGAGTAATAAAAAAAGATTAGAAAAAACTAGGCTATTTATGACTATTAAAAGAGTAGGTTGATCCATAAGGAGACGGAAGCTGTTGATCATACATAATTTACTTAACAAGTCAGAGACTAAGGTACTAATGTGTTCATTAAATGAAAGATGGCTATCAACTACGAAACCCAAGTCCTTAACTGAGACAACAGTAAAAAGTTCTTTGCCCAGGACCGTTTAGGTATAGCGGTACGTTTCAACATTTGTAAGGATCCAAAGACACAGAACTTTGTCTTAGTAGGGTTGATTAGGAGTTCCTATTATCTTATGAATCTTAATTTTTTCCTAATCACTTTCGGTGGCGCAAGTTTTGCTCCAAAAGCTCGCGCGTAGGCTTCCATTAAAAGCTGATTATCTCGAAAACAAGCTCGGGACACCCAATTTTTCTTTCCAGATTTGGAATCAGCATTAAATTTCAATTCGGAAAATCGAAGTTTTAAAAAAAGTTTAAATTGGATTCCAAACGTAGGCAGTCACCTTAAGTCATTATTGAAATTTTCCACGGCACTGTCTGTGTCATTGCTGGAAACGAAGGAGATATATAATTTCGAGTCCTCAACGTATGTTTCCACATTACAATTTAACTAAGTATTCCACGTATGATTCCACATTGCAATGAACACAAATAGACGGTAGGTCGTTGATATAGACCTTAAACAACACGGCCCTAGTACTTAGCTCTGTGGGACTCCATGTCTTACTGTCGGTGGGTTGGATACCGAGTTATTAACGCAAGTGCGTTGTTCTCTTCCTGTCAGCTAGCTAGCAAAACACTTTAAAGGCTTCATCAGAAACGTTCAAGTTGTGAAGTTTTTTCAACACCTCATGTTGTATGCTGTCAAAAGCCTTGCTCAGATCTAAGAGCAGCGCAGCGGTCAACTTGCGTTCGTCTATAGCTTTGTATAACTGGCTAGTGAATTGTACTCCCAGGTTTTCTTGTTCAAGGTCAGGTACTCAACAAATTGGTCATGCGAAACACGCTCTAGAACTTTTGACAAAATAGTCAATAAAGAAATGGGGCAATAGTTGCTTGCGACTTCCGCATTTGATCATAGTAACTATGGTTTGATTGACATTCATGGTTCATACAAACGATACAAAGACTTTGATTGACATTCATGGTTTCCCTTCAGACAATAGAAAACCAATCATCGTTGTAGCGCAGCTTTCGCCGTGGAACAATAATAATGTCCCACAAACAACTACACAGTTTCTTTTTTAAAGAGTACTACGAGGATTACGAGGGTTGTCGAAACGTCAGCCACATCAAACAGCCCTTCTCAGGATTACATCCACTCGGATGTTCATAATACTTCGATTAACGATTACGAGGCTATTATCTTTAAAAAAATAAAAAAAAGACGTTAGACAATTTTTAATCGATTTTTTTCGCCGTCAGAGTTTTAAATTCAGAGATATCAGTCTAGCTAACTTTTAAGCTTGTAGGACATAGCAACGGTAAATAATAGGATCGAAATGATGAATCCACAGCAAGGACGCTTGAATGCTAAACTACTTTAAAGATTGGCATAAAAATGGAATTTTCCCAATGCTGAAGCCGAATATCAGTCGAATAGTAGGCGAATATCAGTTAAAGTGTCAGTCGAATGAGCCGAGTATCAACCGAATATGAGCCGAAAATATGTGGTCTTTATGTAATATATACAGTGGCCGTGTTGTATCCGATATACAACCACGAGGCGTAGCCGAGATTTTTTATATCGGATACAACACGGGCACGAATACTGTAGATTACTTATCAAACGCCTAGGTTAGTTCCTTTGTGTTTCACTAAAATTTTCAAAATTAAAGTGAATCTGCCCAAGAAAATCCAAGTTAAAGTTTATGCAAATGAACACGATTCTGTATCTGATTTACAACACTCTTAACGGTCGTGATTTCTATTGTGTTTTCCGCATGAATTATTAATGAGTTTGATAAATATATTTAAGCAAACCAAAAGGGGACATGAAATGGTATACTATAAGACGGAACGCGCTAAAAATATCACAGAAAATATTTGTTTTTTTACGTCTCAGTAATTAAAATATTTTTGTTTATATCTTTTGGTTTTAGGTTTCTGGGAAGGAATGGGTTATGGCTTACTTGGTATTTATAAAAAAGACTGGGATTCCTTTGGTGGAGAGGACGTGGAAAAGTTCAGATACAGATGGGGTGGTGAGGATTGGGACCTACTGGACAGGTTCGTTTCTATCCACTTCTAACACTTACACCATACGACATGCACTATACTCCATAGAGTATATAGTCTATACATTATGCCCCATGCACTATACCCTATAGACTATAGACTATTTTCCATAAACTACAGCCCATATAATATATAGGCTATAAATTATACCCTATATGCTATATACGCCATACCCAAGCACTATATATGCACGATACACATAGCTCTTATTAACTGAGTACGAGGTCCGTGCTGTATGTTATAGTTATATGTGTTATACACTATATCCTATATGCTATCCGCCATACACCAAAGCACGATATACGCACCATATACATAGCTCTTATTAACCAAGTGCGAGGTCCGTGCCGTATGTTATGGACCAAGTTTTCCCCACTGCCTTATGGCCCAAGCGCGTAGCGTGCGCACCATGAAAACGTGGGAGAAACGACTTACGTACGGACAGAGCAAGCAATCGCGAGGTTAATAATATATTTTTTATGTGACAAGGCGAACAGAGAAATTGGTTTTGTAGTCTGTACCGAAAGATATGGACCGTAAATTGGCCAATGAAAGCGCGTGAAATTGCCTTTATTACACCATAGACTATACGCCATACTGCATACAGTATACCCCATAACCTAGAGACTATACACCATGCAGGATATGCATATGCACCATATTCTACAGTTAGTTTAACGATAAGAAATGCCACTTTATGTAAGAGAATCTGAACGCTTGTGCTTTTTTTAAACGCGTGAAACAGCTTTGATTAAATGCACTATATATTTTATTTTAAACATTGCTGCTGTGTGCAAAAGGCCATTATCATTGTTTCTCATACAACATAAGCTAATAAGCTTCATCTTTTATTCTTCTCCAGGGTAGCAAGTGCTAGGATAGAAATTGAGAGATTTAAATGGCAAAAGCTCTTCCATTTTCCACACGCTAAAAAAGGCACCTGGTACAAGAAAAAAAATGCAACTGCCCATTAATAATTAAAACACCGAAAAATCATTTTAAGGATGTTGTGCTCTTTGAAATTTCAATTATATCAAAGTCGGGGCAGGTTCATTAGATAATATCACCTTTTCTTGACAAGACCGCTGACCCGAACTTCCTAACTTTGTTATAAACATCATTAAAGTTTATATTTTGAAAATACTGCTTAACTTCTGTATGATATTGTTATGATAAGTGACCTCCATATTTCCATTCGGTCACAAAAAAGGGGACTGGATTCCCTGAGGAACTTCTTATTTGAAATATTTTTGACTACCTTATTACATGAAATTGTCGCTATTGATTGATTGATTGATTGATTGATTGATTGATTGACTGATTGGTTTAAACAGAGGTGCCCAGTTCAGCAAAGCTGGTTTGAATGGGGCTCTGTTAAAAATAACCTCACAAACAGAAAATATAGTACAAAACACAAATATTAAAGTTGCAAAGTAGTAAAATTAAAACGTACACTTAACATGAAATATACATGGCGCACAGGGTTGCACAGAAAGACTGTAAAAAAACTTGTTAGTAACTATAGACCAATATCTTTGCTACCAGTAGTCAGTAAGGTCTTTGAAAAGTGCGTTTTGAAAAGCATCCTACCGGATTTTCTGAGGGTTATCTCGGACTCCCAATCTGGGTTCCTAGAGGGAAGGTCCTGTGTTTTGCAGTTGTTTACTGTCTTTCACGAAATAGGCGCCTCACTAGATAAAAATATTGAGACAGATATCCTCTATTTAAATTTCGCGAAAGCTTTTGACTCCTTGACAAGCTGAGGTTATACGGGGTAGATGGTGCATTGTGGGATTGGTTCTCTGACTACCTCAGAAATCGCAGGCAACGTGTCGTCTTTGACGGGTCCAATTCCGGCTGGACGCCTGTGGTCTCTGGGGTTCCTCATGGCAGCCTCCTGGGACCGATCCTTTTTCTTGCCTATGTCAACGATCTGCCCAGTGTAACCTCGACTAGGACTAAGTCATGAGAGATGAGGCGGTAAGCCGTGTGGGATGGGCTCGGAAATCATATAAAAACATGAGTAATAGGTAAAATAGGTAATAGGTCGCGACTTGAAGTTGCGAAAGGTCCATTGGCCCTCTTCTTCAGTCGTTTCATACAAGGTTCGTAATTTACCTATTACGATGTTTTTATAGGACTAAGTCAGTTTTGTTTGCTGACGAATGTTACCGCACGCAGCAATCTCTGCAAGACTACTTGGTCCTCAAGTATGACCTTAACGGCTTGGTTAGCTGGAGTGTTGACTGAGACTTAACACCACCAAATGCAAGGTCCTCAAAATATCTAGAAGACTTAATCCAACGTCTCGTACTTACACCATTGGCTTCGACGCCTTAAAGGAGAGTCGCTCCCAAAAAAAGACATGGGGATTATTACTTCACATAACTTAGGCTGGCATAACCAACGTTGTTAGTTTACGTTGTTGCTAAATCCAATAAAGTTCTGGGTTTCCTTAGACGCAATAGTCCTTATTCTGTAGGGGTTTCTCTCAGATTCAGCTTTATATTACGCTTATGCGTTCAATTCTTTGTCATGGCAGTCAGGTTTGGGCACCGCAATTAAGCTCGCGGGATATCTTACTCCTCGAACGTGTCCAGCGCCGGGCCACTAAATTTATTCTCAGGTACCAATCAGATCTATCTTACAAAGACAGGCTTGTCAAACTCAACCTCTTTCCACTGTCTTTCTGGCTTGAATATTTGGATCTTTTATATTTTTTCAAGTGTCGCCTTAAGCTTAATAATATTGATCTATCTAGTTATGTTACCCCATGCTTGCTTTATCCAGATCTACAAGAAGCAGTATCAGTACAGACTACAGGGTTAATTCATGCAAAACATCTACCTACAGGGAATATCCTTTTATAATTACTGATCTTATCAAAATCCAATGTTTTCAGTCTGCATTATCCCAACGAATGCATAGAGGAAAATCAGACATATTGAGTTCATTCATTATTGGCTTTGTTTCTATGATAAACAAGCTAGAAAGAAAACAATTGGATTTTGATAAGAACAATAATTATACTAGATAATCACTTCGGCACGCAGCATTCGTAGGTATAATGCAGGCTCAGTAATTATCTATTAATGAATCGCATTGTAGTCATTGTAGTCATTCTAGAATCAGTTATGTTCTATCATGATAGACTACTAAGTTCAGTGCTATTCGTTACTATTTTTCATTTATCAATAATGATACGTAGTTTTTTTATTTTACATTGTTTGTGCTTGGGAATGATATATAGTACAAGAATTATTTTACACCATAATAGGCTACTAGGTTCAGTGCTATTCATTACTAGTGCAATAGTCTCAGTTTAACTGCTTGTCTGAATTCAGCTAGGAAAACAATATAAATACAAGGACTGAAGCAAGAGTTGACCAGAAATAGAAAAGAAAGCATAAAATATAACGTCTTCCAAGCATTAGTGCACTCTGAATATGGCTCAAATACTAAAAACACTCCGGCATGGTGGAAAGCGTAAAAGAACCTGTGCAGAAAATATGGAAGACAACAACAGCTGTAAAGTAGAAGAGAAAACAACACCATTTTCACTGCCTTAGCTGTTCGTTTTTCTCTACTTCTATTCTGTTCGTCAGAAAAATTGCCTTGCGGGAAGGTTCGACGTGATTTCCAAAGTCTGAATGAAGTCATGATATTAAATATCACAACTAAACACATCATAAGAAGAACAACGAGTCGGTCAAAAGAGAAAAGAAAGAAATAAGTTCTCAAATACTTTCGATAGCATGCACGGGTATTGCTGTCCTGGTGAATTTGGTAATACCAAGGAACGAAGGCCTTAAGTCCCATAGGAAGCAGCCAAGAACAAGAGACTAGTGCCAGACGTTTTTTCATCGTGTATGGACGAACTCTGTGTACAGTTACCTTGGTTGATCTAAACCGTTCCACACTTATTATCAATAGACTAGTCAAAGTCACATAGCTGGAAGCCGAACCGAAGAAGTGGTAAACCTTACATAAGATGTTGCCAAAAACGTCATTATCCCAAAGTTCCCAGAGATATGGAAGACGAAGAAGAGAACGAATGTCGTTATACGAATACATAATAGCAACGAGAATATCTGAAACGGCCATGTTGATGATTAAATGATGGATGTTCCTTTTCACATTGAAACTAGCGGCAAGGAAGATGATCAAAATATTGCCAAACAAAGCAAAGCCACCCACTAAAAAGATGGCCATTATCTTTACAGTACGCACAATATCTGAATCGGGTACACTGAAGCACGACCAACTGCTTTGCGTTAGGTTGTCCGAACCGTTCATGGTTTGAGGTGAACTGATAACGAGCCTGTCCCTTCTACCTTCAATCTCCTACTGACGAAATGACTCCTTACTGAACTCAAATATATTTGGCCTTCAAAATAATTAACTCGAAACCAATTTACCAAGGAAAAAGTTTCCGACTGTGAACGTTGACAGTCTCTAAAATTATAGTAAAGACATTTTTTATTCATAAGGCTTTTTCTCGTCATTGCAATTTTTATAAATAGTCGACGATTGCTCTTGTTTCTAAAGCAAAGACAAAACTTAAAAGATTTTGTCTTTGCTTTAGAAACTTCGGTCTCTTGATTATTCAATTTATTTTCGGGGGTCTCTTTACATCTTAAAAAAATTCCCAGTATAAATTTGCTGACGCTTAATGTGATTTCACAACAGTGATCAGACAAGCTGCTGTACTTTTTAATTTTCATTGCATTTTTGAACAATGTACTAGTATTATTTAAGGAGCCTTGAGACGGTTTTTCTCGAGCGCGTATGCTCTATACTAGAGCCGATGCCGTAGGTATTGCAATTCAAATATATGTGAAAAGGAAAACTTTGTCCTTAATAATTTTCATATTCCAACTGAAAAAACTCAAAAACGTTGCAGTGAAATTTCTTCAAATTTTCCATATGGCTTTGGTTTATATTTTCGAAAAATTGTCCCTCTTTTTTCCCTATCGTCCCGATCTTTTCATAAATTTTCCTTCTCGTCCATTTGTGGACTTGTGTTGTACATTATCAGTCACGTTCGGATTTAATACCGTGTTGTAGCATCTTATTACATAGTACTTTTGTAGTTTTGCCTCTCGTAGATGGGGTTTACGTTCTTTAGCTGATAACCCATGAACTTGTGCTAAATGGTTAGATAATTTGACAAGGTACTTTGATCCACACAGGGGTATGGGGCAGTCTCTACAATTCCTCCTCAACATGTTCACTGATGAAAAGCTTTTGAGAAACTGGCTGGTTTTCCCGGTTGTCCCTCTTATTTATTATATTTTGCCGTAGTCACAAGTCTTTTGTAAGGGACGAAGAGGAAAATTTATGAAAAGATCGGGACGATAGGGAAAAAAGAGGGACAAGAGGAGACAAAAGGAGACAAAAGGGACTTGGAGACCGCGCGTTCCTTCTCAAGAATTATATAAAGATAAACTTTGAGATTTCTATTTGAGGCCTTGAAAGTCTTTGTGCTCACACGATGTCTACTTCACACCGGTCGCATGCGGAAATAGAAGATGATGAATCAAGTTCTCAAAGCTCTCAGGAATCGAGCGAGGGGAGATGGTTGAGTTGAGCGGTATTTTCAATTGTACAAAGATGTTTTGTTGCATTTGTATTAGAATCTTGCTTTGTCAGGCTTTTTATAGAAAATATACGGGAAATAAGCAAACGAAGGCCTAAATATCATTTTTGAATAAATTTTTTACTTTGGGTTAACACTTCGATTCCACTTTCATCGGTTATCTCCACTTCCAAACAAGTTAAACTTTCTGAATAACAAGATTTTAGCCTTGTACAACAGCCTTTTTTCATGACAATAGTTTTTGGCGCTCACTGCTTGAATACGAGAAGAATTCTCTCTTAACTTGTTTTTAATATTTTCAACTCGATCTACCTGGCCTACCAAGAGACATATCGGTAAGACGTCCGGTTGAACTACGTACCGGTATATAGGTCACACTGCTTGTTTGTTACTCTAAGTTGTAAACATGTCCAAAAGGTTCACGAGAAGAACACGAACCATATTTATAATGGTAATAACATAATGATGTGGTGCTCATAACAGCGCTTTTCACATTCGCCTCAATGCCTTTTCAATGTATGTTATGTATGTGCGGGATCCCTGTATTTTTAGCGTTGGGCTATCTGCCAACCAAGATGGCGTATTGTTTAAGATGTCTTTCTGCAATTATAACTGCAAGTTTTCACTGATTTTAAGCTTTGAATTCCGAAAAAATCATCGCCGAAAACCAGCTCACACTTGCTTCAAAACAAGGTGAAATTACCATATAATAAAGATGTGGGGTGATGGCCGAATGAACAACAACTCTGGTAAGGCAATTGTTTGATAAAAAAGACTTACGTGAAGTGGAATGGTAAACATTCGGCGATTTTGCAATTTAAAGCATATTTTCAACGGAAAATGGAATTAGAAGTATTTTCTAGACCAGGTAAAAGCCTCCCATCGCGCAACTCAAACTCAACTCAACTCAAACTCAACTCAAACTCAACTCAAACTCAACTCAAACTCAACTCAAACTCAACTCAAACTCAACTCAAACTCAACTCAAACTCAACT